CAGCTAATACTCCTGCTGCCAGCTAATTCAGTTAATCCTGTATCTGAAGCTGTGCTGCAGTGATGAAGGTTCAGAGTTCAAATCTGTCACTGATGCGTGATGAGGGGAAATGTTACCGTTGCACATAGTAAAATTTGGTTTTACCTTTTTCCTTTTAAAAACCCCTCAAAGAAACAGGAAATTACATACCAAAAAACTACATTAAAAAGATATGACTGTGTTATTTAGGTTGCTAACTTAAGCACTCAAAAGTTAGGAAATGTCACAACCTTAATTTGGCCCTTTTGCGTATTCATTATGATAGTCTTTCATTACATGGATATATACTGTTTTCTTCCACGGGACCCCTGCTTCATTCAGTGCCTAGTATGGGTGGTGGTCAGGAAATGAATCAGGGCTGTGTAGTGGAAATGTCTGTACCATCCATACCTTATGTGCTATAGAAATTGGAAGTGGTGAAGAGAACAAGATGGTGACTGCAGGAAGAGAAGGGATGATCTTATGGTTAAGGTATGTGAATTCTATGCAGGAGAAGTCCGTTCTAGACCTGCTTATGTCATGGTCTTCCTGTGTGGTATTGAGCAAGTCACTTAAACCAAAATTTTGTCAGGAGGCCACTAACGGTATGTTCCTCCTTTCTTTTTTTTTAGTAATCAGATTGGTTAATGTTTCAAACGTTTATGGTACAAATTTGCACAATTAGCAGCTTGGAAAGAACTAAGAGTCTGAGAGCTGAGGCAAGTCTGAATTTATGCTCATTAATAGAATCGGGGCAAGAAAGTTGCCTAATTCCTGCATAACTGAGCAAGCACTAAATAACGCTTCACCCACTCCTTTCCTGTAATAAAAAAATCTGAATGGAAAACATTAGGAATTGCTGTTAATAGCTTTTCACGAGTAAATATGGGGTTGGCAGAACTCAGCTAAAATAACCTTAGGGCACTGAGCCAAACTTACAGTGCAGCTTGTGTATAGAGAGAGAGAGAGAAAGTCAGAGCTGAAAAAATTAAACAAGATTTTGAAGTATGTAATGGAAAGATTTAAAGTACGCTTGCTTCGCTGCCTTCTAGCCTGGGAATTTGAAAAAAGCATGATTCACTGGAAAACACTGATTTTAAAAGTTTCAGTTAAACTGCAGAAATAGCATTTAGGTAACTACTTCCCCATATGTCTAATCCTACAGAGAGTAAAATATTCCAAAATTATTTGTAAAGGAAACCAAGTAGATTAGTCATCAGTCTTCTGTTTGCACTTTCCCATCAAGTTGTCAAGTTTTGACTTGTTTCACGGCTTTACTGTACCTTCAGGAGCATTCAGGGTATAATGAGCAATCACAATTTATTAGCTTGGTAATAGCTATCAGATTATTGGAGGAATAAGCCCAAATAGCAGCAGGTTCATAGCCCCTTGAAGCCAGTTGGTCCCTGCTCCTCTGGAAATGCTTGATTAGAATTTTTAGCTTGATTACAATATGTACACTGGGATATTTAGAAATGTATATCCTTATCATAAAGATGTAAGTAGCATTAAATATAAAGAATAATATTTGAGGGTCATGGTGGATAATCAGCTGAACATGAGGTCCCAGTATGACTCTTTGGCCAAAGAGCTAATGTAAACCTGGGATGCATAAAAAGGGGAATATAGAGTAGGTGTAGAGAAGGTATTTTACCTCCATATTGGGCACTGGTGCGACCACTGCTGGAATACTGTGTCCAGTTCTGAAGCCCACAATTCAAGAAGGATGTTAATAAATTGGAGCGGGCTCAGAGAAGAGTCATGAGGATGATTACAAGATTAGAAAAAATGCCTTATAATGATAGGACTCAAAGAGCTCAATCTATTTAGCTTAACAAACAGAAGATTAAGATAACTTGATTACAGTCTATAAGTACCTACAAGGTTAACAAATATTTAAGGGGCTCTTCAATCTAGTAGATCATAGAAAGTTTATGATTCACTGGTTGGAAGTTGAAGCTAAACAAATTCAGACTGGAAATAAGGCATACATTTTAAGAAAAATTGTTCCAATGGTTAATTACTCTACCAAGGTTCATGGTGGTTTCCCAATCACTGGTAACTTTTAAATCAAGACTGGATGTTTTTTCTAAAAGAACTGCTCTAGGAATTATTTTGGGGAAGTTCTATGGCCTTTGTTATATAGGGGGTCAGACTAGATGTTCTAATGGTCCCTTCTAGCCTTGGATTCTATGAATCTATAAGGTTAAATATATTGTAATCTCCCTTTCTTATTCAAAAGGAAGTTGGAAAGCTAGAAATCAGCCTGAAGTAAAAAAACTAGTAGTTAGTGTCAGGGTAACTCAATTGGCATCACTTTTGTTTCCCGGCCAAGGGCCATGGTTATATATCCCAAACCAGGGTTTGTGTTCCTATTCAGTGCTGATGCTGAAGTTTAGTACACTGTGTATGTGGGAGAGGTTGCTGCAGTTGTAGAGGTGCTGTGTTTCTGTTGAAACACTAACCATGGGCAGAAGGGACCCAACTCTGATGAAAGGCCTGGTGAAAGTTAAAAATCACAGCATGGTGAAAAAGGTGAATCATAACCCTGCCATGCTGGCCTGCATTTCCTTTTGATAAATCAGATTCTAATGGGCAAGGTGGCAGGTGAGCTATTGCTGAGTGCATAATGGCTACTGCATGAACCTACACATTCTATCCCAGTTCTGAAGTCACCATTAAGGCTGCATTTTTATTTATTTTATTTTTTAATAGAAACACTTGACATTTTCCATCGAGTAAAACAGTAAATTTTATAGGGCAATATCTATTTTCTAAGCATGTTTAAATGGCCAGTATAAACAAATTATCCTTATAAACTGCTGGAATGGAAATGAAGAATTCACTCACTTTTGGGTTGTGTCAGTTTTATTTCATTAATAGTACTGCTTTCTGTGGAGGTGGCTTTCTTTCTTCTATGTTTTTAAGACCTTTTCCTCTCTTCCAGCTGGTTTAGTTCCCTTAAGGCAACTAAAATGAGGACCCCCACCCATTTCTGTCAAAAAAACTCTTGAGAACAGAAAGGCAAAGAGGATCTGGCCCTCCCCATTTTCCAGATGTAAATAGCTGCAGGAGAGTCAAGACCCCTTTTCATAGGTCTGTTTCTCATTTTTTTTTTTTGACCTTCTCCCGCTGTCATTCTTAATGACAAGGCCTCTAGACCCTCAGCCTGAGAGAACCAAAGGGCAGGCCAGCTGACTCCAGCCCTGGTCCCATTCCCACCTGCCTCCTGCATTTCCATCGCTGTCTCAGCAGGATCAATCATATCCATGTGTCTCAGGTTTTTCCCTGCATGTGTGCAATAAGTGAAAAACTGGCAGAGTCTGAATTTCATGTTTTTCTTGGCATAGCTAATTTAACGTTTTCTGTAATATCTGTGACAACCATGAAAATAACAGTCATGCTTCTAAAGCACTTTGGATAGCTACAGCGCCACTAGTCTTTTTTGTGTCCATCAAACCGATGAAAATATTCTAAAATACCTCTCCCCACTGTCATATTATCTTGTGTATGCTTTCCAAATCACAGTCCTTGGCACTAGTATCTTAAAGAACTAATTGAGCTATTACCACCTACTGTCATCAGAAGACTGTACAATGTAATTTTAAAAATCTCACAGCTACTTGACAGAGTAAACTAATTTCCCACTGGTTGTGAATTTTACTTATCTGGATGTAGTAATGTTCCTTTCTGAATTATCAGGAAAATAGGCTAACCTACGATACCTAGCAAGAGCAAAATGGTCAGAAGCTTGGTAACAGGCAGTGCACATATGGCTTCTACAGAGCAAACAATGCTCTCTCCTGTTGCATCCGTGGACAGAAACCTCAGCAATTTCTTCTTGCCTTTTTTCTATTTCATTTTTATTGTCAGTATTCTTAGTCAATGTACAGTTGTGTGATTTCTTTTTTTTTAAGAGAACCGGGACACCACTCTGGCAGTTTGAAAGAGACTTAAAGAGAGCATAAATTGCAATTCATTCACTTTTAGGCTCCTGTACCCTGCCAGAGCAGTGTAAAGGGGCCTTATTGTAAATGAGAATCGGGCTGAACAGGGTCAAGAGATTATCAGAAATCTGCACATCAGAAAGGACAAACTCTCACAAAGGCCCACGTTAGAACACTTACAAATGCTTATTAAAGATAATGGGTCAAATTCTAGACCTGTTCTATTTTGAGTCACAGATAGAGGGAGGGGGTCAGGTATAGTAATGGTGCAGAAGTGATGCTAAGAGCGGACAGACAGAGATTCCTTTCCTCACTTCCATGTAATTCCTATCGGGGGCTGAAGTAATCCACATGTGATTGGGATTGTGTGTGTGCAAATCTACATCACGATGCTTACTTTGATGCTCCGACCCCGGAGGTCCTGAGGCGTGAGAGTTTTAGAGAAGCCCTGAGCAAGCCACCAGACTTGTGCTGTGCTTGGCCATCCCTTTTTCTGAATACACATAAGAAGATGGATACACACAAGCAGCCTATATTTGGTCATCCTCTTCTAAAACTTCGTATACATGTAATCCAAAACCACATCAATTTTAGCATAACAAAAAAGTACTACACAGCCCAATTTTCTGAATGAAATGGGGCACATGGTGTTTGTTTGAATGGGGTATGGTGAGACTTTTCATGTGAGTGCTGTAAATTGGAGATTGTATCCAAATTCAGATTAATGGAGTTTCACAGAAGAGGGGGTTTTATTGTAGTTAAATCCCAAAGAAGGAAATTTGGAAGGGAAACACATGTAGTTTGCTGTATTATATGTTAGTCTTCTTTAAAAAGAGAACCAGAATTTAAAGTATAAATCAACTAGGTATTCCTTTCAGTTTTGAGAAGCGGGCTCAAGCATTATGCTCTAATTATTGTAATCTGTTGCTAAATAGCTTGATGTGTTGGTTAAATTACAGTTATTATGGAATGAAACCTAATTACCCTCTACATTCCTTTGTTTAGACACATGTTAATTTAATTTTTTTTTTTAAGGCTTAATGAAGAGACTGGAAGAGGAGATAAAGTTCAATTCATATCTGTGCTCTGAAAAATTTCCTAGAGAACTAGAAAGTAAGAAGCAATCATTGTATTTCCTACAAAAAGTGGTTTCAGAGCCAGCTATGGGTCAATCTGATCTCAATGAACTTGAAACTAAGGTATGTTGACTAAAAACCCAACTAGTTTGTCTTCTGGACTTATATAAGCATCAACTGTCTTATTTCTGCCCTAAATTCTTGAATAAATGTTTTTAATTCCCAAACATAATTACCTTCCTTTTTCAAAGAAAAGAAAAAGTATGAGTTGCTGACTCAACCCAGGTTCTGGCATTACTCAAAACCCCACCTTACAAAACTGTTTAGAAAATTGTTTTAGTAATTTGGGTTTGTATGAAAAGAGATATTCATTTATTATTGTTGAAGGCTTGATTTCCCCCCACCCCACTCCTTACATCAGTTTTATACTGGTTTTAAGTCCATTAACTTCAGTGTAGTTACATTTACATAAAACCAGTGTTAATAGAGTGGAGAATCAGATCGTCAGTATGTAGTATATCACTGACATTTCATTTTAATGCAATGTGCAGAGGTGTGAAGATAATTTGCATACTTGGATAACTTGCATGCTTTTTGTTTCAAATGGTAACATCTCAGCTAATTTGTTGATCAAAGCTTGATTTGATATTTGATTTACTCTTTATTACAGTTTTTCAAATGTCAGAAACTGAAGCTGTTCAGATCAGCTAAAATCTTTGATCATAATAGATTTCTTATTTGCCTAGGAAAATCTAATGCTTAGTAAAACTGAATATTTTTTTATGATCCACGGCAAAGTATAATTTATAAAAGAAAAATTGGCATAATGTGTGGAGTTCTATCTGCAACAGAAATAAGTTTGCATATTTCCCTCAATTATTGCATCAGCCTACATGAGAGAATAGATGTGTAATGTAATACATCTTAGAGTTACTATTAGAAATGTAGTGAAAAGTAAAATACTGTTTAATGGTATATATGTTGAGTATAAGAAAAGCTTGCTGCAGCCTTAACTACAGACAGGCTAATGACTCTCCATAATTTTTGTACAGTGTTTGGTAGAAATTTTTTCTCCCCAACCTAAAGCTGACCCTTTATGATCTCCCCAAATGCCTCCAAGTCTTGACGTGGCTCATGAAAGATGGGGAGTAAAGAAACTGAGAGTGAAATCCTGGCTCCATTGAAGTCAATGGGAGTTGACATCAGTGGCGCCAGGGTTTCACCCTGCAAATCTTTGTGATAGATTTTAATGATAGTATTTAACTGTGTCCCAACAGTTATGTGTACAAGTTACTCTAATATATGCTTTAAAATACTTTGTGATAGTGTAATTAAGCCCCTCACTTTATCTGAAGAGCTGGGAAAGAGTGGCTGTGGGAAGAGTGATGCTTTAGCTCACACTGTGATAATAACGAAGTATTCCACACTGGTGTAATGAAGGAGGGACAAACTTCTAAATGGATAGGCAATTTAGAAGTGATCTAGTGGGAAGAAAAATAATCTGGAACCACAAAAAGATCCTATGCCTACAATGCACTAGGGAAAGGAAGGTACAAGAAAGAGCTACATGTCTAGCAGAAGTGATTGAAACCACAAATGCTATTTTGATTACAAGAATCTCACCGTGGTGGATGGCAGAGGCTCCAAAGGTGAATCACACCGCTATTGTAAGGCTTCAGATCTAATCTGTAGTTTAATAATGGAGTCATTCTTAAAGAATATACCACTCAGAGTATGGGAGGACATGGTGCTGTCATTGGCTTTACTTTGATCATAACAGAGGCTGCTGGTACCAGATGCTGTCCAAGCCGGATGGGTGCATCCAGGTCTGCAGCATGAGTTCATACCCTCCACCCACCTCAGCACCACCTGCAGCTGGTGTGGATGCCTCTTCCTGAGCTCGGTCAATGCCGGGCAGCTACCCGATTTAGACTCCCCCTCCCTCCCCCCAAACCTCATCTTCACTCCCCCCATCTCACCAAGACGCCTCCTTCATCCCCATCCCCTCTCCCTCCCACCCCAAAAAGTCCCTTTCCCACACTTAACGCCTCTTTCAGCCCAGCCAGCCATTCCAACACCTCACCCCCAAGGGCAGGACCTGGCCGTCTTCCCCCTAGCCCAGCATACCATGAGAGGAATTTCTGGGGGCATCCCTCATGGGGTAGATCACTCTCAACCCCTGGGCCCAGTCTGGGGATTACATTAACTGAGATTAGCCCAAAGGGGGTCATGGCATTAAAAAGTTGGGAATCACTGATATAACGGAATTCATACCCTCTTTGAATTCAGACCCATTCCAACAGAGAGTTAATGCCTTTAGAAATAAAAAAAGAGAATCCCACATAGAGGAGGAAGAGTTCAGGAGTCTCAGTATTTGGAAGTCTCTCTACACCATTATTAAGCAATCGTCTTGACATATTTGGTCTTCAAAGTACACATCTGTTGCCCGCAGAATTGCTAGGGTAGTGACCAGTACCGTGCCTGTGTTACTTTTAGAGTTCCCTCTGATTGCAGCACACTTCTACAGGATTTGCTTATTAGCACATATCTTCCTAGGCAGCAGAGAATTAAGGCAGGATGCCTGGGCTCTGGGCTCCATGGTTAGAGGGAACACCCAATGTAGTCAGAGTTAGAGTATCAGGTATCAGTATATTATCATAGCTCCTGTTGACTGGCTGCCAGCTAAGGTAGGCTCACAGACGACGAAAATCAAGGTTTTGGGAGAAGAAGCAAAATGAGTCCGTCTTGGAGGAGTAGAAGGAACATACTGTGCTGTTGGGGTAAGTGGGTCCTGGGATCTTCAGAATTATAGTGGAACTGGGCACCATTTAATTTGAATCTATCTCCTCTTCAGACTAGTGGTAAATGGCTTATTAAAGAAGAATTATAGCTGGTCATTGATATAATCAGGGCACACAAAGCAATTGTAACATCATCCCTTTTCTCTGCAAGGCCTTAGTTTGGAGGGACTCCCTAACACAGGTTGATCTTGTTGTTGAGGCACAGGACTGGAAGTCTGAAGACATGGGCTGTATTTCTGGCTTTGCATCAGACTTACTGTGTAATCTTGGCAAGTCACTTAACTCTTTTGTGTCTGTTTCTCCATCTTTAACATGAGTCTGATAATACTTCCTTAAAAGTGTGTTGTGAGGCTAAATTCATTAACTTGCAAAGCATTTTGATATCCTTAGAGAGAGGACAAAGTATTAATATTCTGTTTTCCCTAACTGCTAATGTTTATTTAGAAAGAAATATGGCATTTTCTTGATCTTCCACTCTTTATTTCAGATAAATGAAGTCAATGCGCAAATTAATCAATTGATTGAAAAGAGAATGATGAAATATGAGCCAATTGATAGTAAATTTTCCATGTATCGACAACAGGTAAGAAGGAACAAAAGCTTTATTGTAAGCAGCAAAATCCTGTCAAATTGACTGACTGTTATTTACAGTCTTGTGTTGTCTTTTTTTCTTTACTTGTTTCTGAAAAACTAAATTAAACAGAAAGACATGAAGAATAAATAAATAACAGTTGAACACAACTATATTTATGTTATATAACTTCTTCAACCGCTTACTGCTGGGCATAGTCCTATTGACTGCAGTGGGACTAAGCTTGATAATAAGCAATTACAGGATCAGGCCCATAGGATTTGTGTGTTAGATACAATAGAGAGTCTGTATTCTAGGCCTAACATCTAAAAGGTGCCCTCAGCTCCTATAGAAGCTAGTGGTAGTTGGGGCATGTTCCAGGATTGGCCTATATGTTGCATACTCAATACTGAGTTGCTAGTCAACACTTGGAAATTTACTGAAATAGCTCCTCTAGAATAAGGGTATGTCTACACTACGAAATTAGTTCGAATTTATAGAAGCCGGTTTTATAGAAATCGGT